GTGAGCATAATCAAACTTATCAGCATGTTGTTGATAAAACTTGCATCTTAATTCAATAAACGCTTTCATATTTTCAGTTACATCGTCATCATTTATCATATTCTGGATTGCACTGCTTGGTGTATAAGTGCTAGGGTCATCTACATACGTTCGGTGGTAATCGATTGTTTCTTTCTGAGTAATATTCATCTCTTGCTGATGAATATTTCGCAACACTGCATCTATTTCCATTTGTGAATTATCTGAGAAACTTGCTGATCTTGAACTATTGCCAGATTTGTTGAACGTAGCACTAACTTCTCTATATGCGCCTTCTCCACTTATTGCTTCATTAAAACTAAATGCATTAACTTCATCTCTACTAATAATAAATGGCGATTCATCAACTTGTTCATTCTTAATTTGATTAAATAATTCAACAGGAACTTCAAATAAAATTGGTTTAATTGGGAGCTTTTTGACTAAATTTTTGTCATTCAGATTCAGATGATCTGCATATGATTCTAATCCTTGATAAATGATCAAGCAAAAGTTATCATTTTGTTGCTTTAAATCTTGTTTTAGTCGATTGCTATTACTAAGCAACTCATACATCTTAAAATAATTTGATTTATTTAAATTCTTCTCCCAGAAGTCAATGCCAAAATTAGGATTTCCGGCTAAAATGATCAAGCCAAAAGTTTTACACCATAACCATAGATCTACTGCTAAATTAAGGCGTTTTCTTACTTTGTTTATTGCTTCCCTTTTGGCAATTTTAAAATCAATAGTCTCCGGAGTGCAACCAGATTTCTCTAAATTCAACTCGGCAATTTTTGATTCCCATTCGCGTAATGCTTTATTTACGTTCTTTTTAAATTTGCTATAACTTTCTTCAGTTATTTCAATAGGAAAAACTAATCCATTATCAAAAAGTAATTGCGCAAAAAATAAAAGCTTTGGTATTTCGAGGTAACTGTTTATAATGTTTCCATAATTTGACTCTGTTAGCAAAAGTACTATTTTGTTCATGTTACTATCAGGTAATTCTGCTATTTCTTTGACAGTTTTTGATTCGTCATAACTTTCTAATGTTTTCCAAGATTTTACCAAGACTCTATTTACAAAAAAATCAGTTGCTTCTATTGCATTAATAATGATGTCAAACGACTTTGGTTGTTCTTTTCTTGAAATCCCGTATATTGAGTTTATTTGACTGTCGATATCATCATCATCCCCAATTTTAATTTTTTTAATTTTGACATTGTTAGGTATAAATGAAACCTTAGTGGCGTCTTTAAAAATATTAAATTTATAGCAGTACTTTCTTGGTTTTAGGTAACCATTTTCTTGAAATACATCAAAAACTTGATAAAATGTTTTAAACAAAAAGTCTGTTTCTTTGTCCTTTGATTTAGATTTGAAAGTTCTAATAAGATTATTGTATTCGTGACGCAGGTTTTTAAACTCGTAATCATTTAAATCATCAGAACTAATAGTATATTCTTCTTCGACATCATAACTAGTGCGTGTGTTTATAATTTCTTCATTGACTTGATTTCTTATATCCGTTTCTAAATGTTGTAGTTTGTCTAAATACTTTTGAAATGCGAAAATAAAATTTTCTGGTGTTTCAAGATTACTTGCCATCGTTGCGAACGTTGCCTTAATTAAACGGTAATACAGCATATTTAAATAAGCACGAAACAATACTCAAAATTAAATGTTAAGAATTAAGACAAATTGATTTAAAAAGTTTATTTTATCAATAATTATTATTGCTAATATTAATTTTTTTTTAAAAAAAAAGAATCCTGAATGGCGTTATGACTTTTATACAATGTATAATTAAATTTTCAATTGTCACGGATTCTGATGTTAAAAATAATTTTCTTAGCATTCTAATATGTGATAATATAAGTCATATTTTTACAATTTGATTCTTCTGAATTGCTGTAAATTTTAATTTCTTTCAATTATTAGTAATGGTAAATAACACAATATTTTAATATGATTTGAATTTAGGAATACTGTATGTATAGCAAAGTATTATAGTTCTAAATATAATTTAACGACTAATTGTGACAAATATACCTTATAATTGATTATTCTAATGTGTCAAAAAAGTAATCTCAATTAGTTACGCGATTTAATACAATACGTGTTGCCAATTGTCATTTTAAAAATAACTGAATATGATAAAGTTAATGCTCTAAATTAAAATTTAATTTGAAGAACATTACTTAATCTTCTGCAAATGAAATAATAGGAAAAAACATAAGAATTGGAAGAAATTATAGAAAAAGCTAAATGTCTTAAGCAGTATTGTTTGATGAACATTATATGTGGCAGCTGAAGCTGAGTGGCTTTTTAGAGTTATGTTAGGGTTTAGATGTAGTTTTATTAATAAAAGAGTACCATATAGATTTAAATAGGACTCTCCAATGTTCAGATTGTTTTCTGAGTGCCATCTAGAGAAAATCTATCATTGACTTTCAATTATATTTTGACAAAATATAATCTAAAGCCCGATGATAGGTTTTCTCTAGATGGTATTCAGCCGAATAATAACAATATTGCAAAATGATAAAATCAATTGAATTGAATTCAATATTATATCTGAATAGTAGTAAGTTCTTGTATTGTTTAAGGATTCAATTAAATAAATATCTTCTTGATGATATTATTTTATTTTTTTTTACAAGCAAGAAAAACTGATTTGAACAATATTTATCATGTTTGGTAGCAAAAAATACGAATATTACTCCTCTTTATCGGTCAAAATACCAAATTTATCGAAATTATACGGGCTCAATGTTGAATTATTAAATTCTACCGACAAATTTTCTACTATTAAAATCTCTTTCGGTCTTCTTCGATTCTCTCATTATCTTCTTATTTGGAATAAAAAAATTGTTAATCGTGCTGATTATCTTGATCTAATTAATATAGCTTCCCAATTTAAAAAAGGTAATTGGTTAATCGTTGGAAATTCATTAATAGATGATAATGGCGAAGACAAATGGGAACAGTTCCAAATAGAAACAAAGAAGAGTCTTAAAGACAATATGCGATTTTCAGGCGAACATGAGATCTTTGACCTTCTAAAAGATGAATTTCTCAATCTTTATGCAAAAGATAAAAAAATAAACCCTAAACTAAAAGATTTATTTGTACATTATATGAAAGGTAGCACAAGCAGTTTTAAAACAATTGAATATAACTATGAGTCATTTAAATTTTGTATTAATAGTCTTTGACACTAAATAATTTGACACCATAAAACGGTTATTGAAATAAAGTTAAATTTTGTGATAATTTTGTGGACTCAAAAATAACAATTCAATCTAAAGACCAATATATAGAAACTTTATTCAAAAGTGAATTTTAAAATATCAATAATATATTAAGTTGCCATTGCAAATATCAAATATCAATAATGTATTAATCTAACAAGTTGCCATTACAAAGAAAGTTCTTTGTGAAGGAATAGAAGTGCGAACTGTAATAATTGATAAAGTAAGGTTATTTATTAGGATCAAAAATAATTAGAATTGGTCCCAAAAATAAATTATATGGTTCACATCTCAATTATTATTATTATAAAACGGTGTATTTGTATTTAAATATATCATTTGAATTTGTTGAATTTGCCAAATCTCAATCTACAACTCTGGTTTAACATATGGGCGAAAATCTCCAGTTGAAACACAGTGATTATTAAAAATTAGGTGATATAAGTAATTGGGTTACAATCAGGTACGTACATATGTACGTACATACAAAAAATTTGTAAATAATCAGGTTACAATCATGCACATACATACAAAAATTTTAATCAGATACAAAATTTATAAGTAATTAGGTCACAATTAGGTACATACATACAAAAATTTATAAGCATCAGGTTACAATCAGGTACAAATTTATGAGTAAATTAATAAGCAATTCATAAGCAATTCATTATCGGGCTTACAACTTCTAATCAAAAAATCACTTTTATTTACAATAATCACGCCATATCACATAAATGATTGGCTCAAATTATATTTAACCTAATCACTCACACTAAATCATTCGAAATTGGAGATTTTTGCCCATATGATAAAGTATTTTCGTTCATTAAACGGTTGATTTCACTTGACTGAATTTGACATACTTCCTACCGAATGTATGAAAGAGATATTTCAATATGTCGTCACTGGTGTAAAAATGCAGTGCCAATATTGTGGGCTTGCCTGTTTGATAAATTAAACTTTGATAACGTATATAAAATTACATCAGTTTACATTTCATTGCTTGAAGAACATGAAAAAAGTCAACTTAAAATAATCAACTTAAAATATTATTCGTTAAAATTTATATGACCAAAAATCTATTCTGGAATTGATACCAAATAAAAAACCTTTATTTAGTTGCTTAGAAATAGTCGTACAGTTGTACATTCCTGGATTACTGTATTTAGGTCTGATAAAAATTTTGAGGAGTCAAAAAAACAAATCTTGAGTTTTTATATAGCAATTCTTTTTACTTAAACTAAGTTTGCAAAAAATATCAAATGATTCTTTATATTTTTTGTTACTATAAAGTTCTAATGCTGTTGTAAAAGCAATGTCTTCTTTGTGACTAAGTTCTTTATAGCAGTCTGCCATATTAATTAATGCAGTCAATTTCACCTTATCATCTTTAGTTAATTCATGGTAAATATTCCAAGCATCTTCATATTTTTTATTATCGCGTAATTGATCTGCGATTCTTAAAGCATGAGCTTTATCTTGTTGAACACCATGCCCATGCATATAACAAAGTGCTAAATAATATGTAGCTTTCCTGTAAAGTTTGATTTCATTGTCATCGTTGGAGTTCGAATTAAGTTCACTCGTTAGATCGTTAAAAGTAGAAAAGGCTACATCGTACTTTCTGCTTTTATATTTATTAGTCACAATTCTAAGCCTTTCACTGTCCCATTCTGAATACATATTTAAAAACAGAAAATTAGAATTAAATAGGAAGTGTTTACTTTTTAAAAATGTGTAAGATGGAGTTTGTTTAAATTATCAAATGCATTTTTATACATTTGGATAGCATTAATATTTAAATAAATAATTTATTACTCTTTTTAAGAAATAATATTTATATTAATTTGTTTTTATATGAATAATTTTATAATTTGAAAATTTTATGTATTCAATTGATCGATTGAATAATTTCAAAAAGTTTTTTAGAATTTATGGTTAAATTATTTCTATTGTATTAAGACTTGTTTTATATTATAAATATTAGCATAATTAATTTTATTAAATTTCATTTAAATACTTGCTCAATATAGTTTAATATATTTAATTTGTGTGAAAATATATATATTTAAAATTCAATAAAATCTATTGTATCAATAACACTATAGATAAGCTTCAATTTAGGAATCGAATTGTATCCCTAATAACTAAGAATAATACTGAAATTTTATTATCAAATGATTGGTCAGGTTCGTCCTATAAATTAGTGTTAACAAACTTAAAGCAAATAAAAGAGGGCATTAAGTTATTTGATTAAATCCTAACAGATGAAAGCTGATCATCATATTCCAAATGAAAAATCTAAGAAAATCGAAAAAAATTCATTTAGATTAAAAATTAATACTTCCTCTGAACAGATCATATGAATATCGAAAAGAAAAACAGAGCATTTCTTGAGGAATATTAAGAAGTGCATGAGATAATTACGTATTGGTACGCATATTATTTAAAAGAG